AGGCTGGGCTGCGGAGGAGGCTGCGGGGCTGGCACCCCCAGCGCGCACGGGGCCCCCACCCCCGCCAGGGTCCTTGGGGGAATGGCCCAGGGCCTCGGCCACATTCTTCAGGGCGGCGATGGGTGAGGGCACACCAGGGGTGTCCGCGGAGTACGGGCCACCGGGTGCTACCCAGTGCCGCTGCTGCTGTTCCTCGGTGGTCATCTTCCCAGCCGCCTCACCCTCGGGCTCAGGGGACGCCTTGCGACGGCGTGGCGTGGGCGCCAGGTTCCGGGATGGGGCTCGCGGGGGTGGGCCACAGAGAGCTGCAGGGGCTGGCTCTGGGTACTGCTGGGGCAGGGCCTCAGCCGGGGCTGGCTCTCGGAAGCTGCGGACACCGTCGGTTAGCAGCTCCCCTAGCTGGCGCCATTCCCCGGAGCCGTGCCTCCGTTCATACTCGAGGTACTTGAAGCCCGAGGAGGCCAGAGCCTTGCCCGGCTCCCGCAGAGCATCATGAAACATCTGGCGAGCCACGGCCAGGACTCCTGCGTACACGTTGCCAGAACCACAGGGGTATTCGGTAAAAAGCTTCAGCTCGAACTCGTAGCCCGGCGGGCGGGCAGTAGCATCAAAAGCGAACACCCGCCCCACCAGCCCGTGATCCTTCTTGAAGCGGACATTGAAGGGGGCGCAGGCAGACAGCGCCAGGAGCTGCTCCCGCACAGCTTTGGGGCGCCCGTGCCACTCCTCCGCCCGGCCACGCATGGCCTCGTTCAGTTCTGCCAGACAGTCCGCATTCCTCTGCTGCTTCTCTTTCTCGAAATCGGAGCCAAACGCCGGACGGGCAGGACTCAAGCCGGGTGCCAGCGTCAGGCCTCGGCTTCCCAGGCCAGACACAGCAGCTGCCAGCAGCCCGGGGGGCACCAAGCTGGGCATGGAGCCAAGCAGGGCCCTCCGCGCCCCCTCCGCCACGGCCTCCTCGCGGCCCAGCCCATTAGCCAGGCGGGACCCCAGGGTGTACTCCAGGGCGGGCGAGGGCAGGGGGAGGCGGCCAGACGATGTGGCCCTGTCATAGCGGTCCTGGCCAGAGATGCCACCGCCCGTTCCTGACGGCTGGGGCTGGGCCTGCGGAGGCGGTAACTGAGGCCCCTGTGCAGCGGCCGCAGCCAGGTCCTTAGTGGTCGGGTGCTTGAGGGCGGGGGGCCCAGGAGAGCGGCCCTCGGGGAGCACGTGGCTGCGCTTGAGTTGGCGGGCCGCGTCGATGAGCAGCTCGATGCGATCCGCACCCTCGAAGTTCACGCAACCGCGGCACACCGCCTCGCTGAAGTCCCACACCATGGCCCACGGCATCTTGGGCAGGTCGCAAAGGTAACACCACTGGCGGCGGGACGCCTGCACCGACGCCATGACCCCTGCGCGCGCGCCGGGGCGTCCCGGCGTTCCACCCGCCGCCGACGTCCGATCCGCGCCGCCGACGTTCAATTCGTGTCCCCGGGACCGCGCGAGCCCACAGTCAGGCCTCCGGCGCGGCCTCCCCGCGGATCCAGGCCCGGCCCCCCTTCCCCGCCCCCTGGGCCCTAAGCCTTTTTCCTCACTCCCGCCTCCTTGAAAAGCCTGTTAGAGGCTCGTCGGCGCCCCCGCCCGATCCGGGCTCCGGGCCGAGGCGCACAGCTCGGGCCCCGGGATGGGCCGCTCCCGCCGCCGCCGCCGCCTCGGGCTCCCGCCGCTCCCGCCGCCGCCGCCGTCGCCGCCACTGCAACGGCCGCCGCCGCCTCCACCTCCTTCTGCCCCAGAGGCCGCTTCGCAGGGAAAGTTACATAACGCGCCAGCAAAGCCTTCTGGGAAACGTAGTCCCGCCGGGGCCGATTCTTAAAGGGGACGGCTGGCGGCGAAGGGGCGGGCTTGCCGCCTCTCCGACGCGCGAACACTGCTACTCATGTCGGCCGGGAAGGGAGTTCCACGCGCTCGGAGGAGCTCGGGCACAGGGCTTGGGGGCGGGGATGAGATAGGAATGGTCAGCGCTATCACGGATTCAGAAATGGTAGGAAGTGGACAGGCTTTCGGGCGTCTAGTTTCTGTTCCGACTTGCTGTGCGGCTTTAGGCAAAAGTCTTGGTCTTTCTGAGGCTCAATTCCCCGCCCATCAAAGGTGGGCTAAAGCCTAGTTAGGGAAGCAGCAGCTCCTGGGGCAAGGGCGGAGGGGCTCTGATTGGATGGTTTCGGGGTAGGGGGACGGGAAGCTGGCAACTGGGGGAGAGAGGGTTCGGCTTGGCACCTCATTTGCCTCCAATCTTGCATATCATTCTCTGAATGGGGCCGGAAACAGCCGGAGAAAGGGGAAGAACGAAGGTCTCTCTCTGCCCGTTGCCTCATCTAGTAAAGAGAGTGGTCGAAAGCCCTCGAAACTCTGTTCCAGCTCTGCCGGCGCGCTCTGGTCTACAAAGAGTTACACTGTGTTTCTGCCCGCCCCCCCCCCTCCGCTCCCCCCCTCCACTTCACTACAATTCCCAAAATGCTCTGCCGGGAGGACAAACTGACGCACTTCCGCTGCCTGGGAGGTTGGGGGAGGCCTTCCCGATTCCCGCTGTCTCTCACCCCCCCCCCCCCGCTCAATTTCTGGGAGCTTTACTTTTTGGGGGAGCACTGCTTTGAGGGAATCCTCACCCTCTACTGCTCGCTAATTTGGGGGAAGGGAAGGAGGCCAGAGATGGCCAGCAAGAGTTGGGGGGGTAGTTTTTCTCCAACCTTTGAGTGCTTACTACCTGATCGGACCAACCAGACTTTGGGGACACCTACCCCACCCCGCCCCCGGAGAGGGATTTCTTCCCAGCATCGGGGACAGTGCGAGTCAGGCTTGAAGAGTAGGGAGGGGAGGAGAGACAAGTCTCCAGGTTCTTACCCCCATCACCCTCTTACTCTAAGCCTGGGTCCGTGATAAGCGCTCAAAAATATTTGAATGACTTGTCAGACTTGCATTCATTAGTGACTTTCAAACTAATCGGACTGTCTGCTTCCTCTCCCACATCCCGCTGCAATTCTAGCAGCTCTGGTTTTGTTATCCAAACATTAGTGTCAGCTTCACAATTTCACTGAACACCTGTATTATTTTCTGGAAACTGACTCCCCGGGGTGGGGGGCGGGGAGGAGACTTTCTACTTTTGCCTCATCCTAAGCAATACAGACATACCTCGGAAATATTGCAGGCTCCTTCCAGACTACCACAATGCAGCAAACCTAGCAATAAAGCAAATATGGCAATACAGAGTCAAATGAACTTTTTGGTTTTTCAAATGCATCTGAAAGTTTACACTACGCTAGTTTATTAAGTGTGCACTGGCATCATGTCCAAAGAAACAATGTATATACCTTAATTAAAAAATATTTTATTGCTAAAAAATGTTAACCATCATCTGAGCTCTCAGAGGTCAGTGATCACAGCACCATAACAAATGTAGTAATAATGCAAAAGTTGGAAATATTGCACGAATTACCAAAATGTGACACAGATAGACGAAGTGAGCAACTGTTGGAAAAATGACATCGACAGACTTGCTTGACCCAGGGTTGCCACAAACCTTCAACTTGTAAAAAAATAAAATGCAGTATCTGTGAAGCGCAATAAAGCAAAGCACAATAAAACGAGGTATGTCTGTATTATGTGCAGAAGTGCAGGCTTTTTATGTACTGGCTACATTTTTTTGGTACTAGCTACATTTTAATCAAGTTTAACACTACATAAGAACCATTAGAAAGGTCATCCATAGGGACGCCTCGGTGGCTCAGTCAGTTAAGCATCTGCCTTTGGCTCAGGTCATGATCTTGGGGTTCTCGGATGGAGCCCCACATCGGGCTGCCTGCCCAGTGGGGCGTCTGCTTCTCCATCTGCCCCTCACCCCGCTCGTGCTCCTGCTCTCTCAAATAAATACACAAAATGTTAAAAAAAAAAAAAAAAGCGGCCATCCATATATCCCCTAAAATTCTTTAAGCCATCCTTCAGTAAACACTAGCGGGGGTCAAGAGTTGTGGCTGGAGTCCAGCTTCAGGTGGGCTGAATTGGGATTGGCCCCTGACAAGTCTAGGGCAAGTCTTTAAACTCAGGAGAAAACAGAGATCCCCATAGAATCTGCTTTTCATAGGGCAGCCTCAAGTTAAAATGAAAACATGCATATAAATGTTTAGCATGGTGCCTGGCCCAGAAAAGGAGCACCATACATGGAAACTGTTTTTAAGCTGCTCATTAACTCAAAGATGCAACCCTCCTCTGAGTTGGGTGATGCTGAGGACACAGCACTGACTTGAGCAAGGCTCAGGCCTTCCCCTGACAAGGCTCATCCTGGTGATGGAGGCAGACATTCAATTTAAATTTACTCAAATGATTATTTGACTACATCATTTCCCTAACTGCTGGGGGAGAGGGAGTGCCAGGGAAGACTTTTCTGAGGAGGTGATATTTGAGCTGAGACCTGAAAGATGAAAATAGAATGGAGCTGTGGACTCCTACATTTTTTATGCCCATTTTACAGATGAGGAAAAGGCAGGCCCACACAGCTGGCTGGGGCAGTGCCAGGTCTGATGGAATCCAGGGTGGTGGTTATTAGCTACTTTGCTACTATGCTTTGCAGCAGGTTTAGGAGTAAAAAAGAGAACCAGCTCTTGCCTTCATGAAACTGGGTTGGCGGCGGAAGGGGGGGGGTGAAACAGCTTTAAACAGATAAAGGCATGTGTTCTTTGAGGGACCACAGGACACTAGGAAAAAAATCTAAGCAGGCCCATCGTAGCCTGGAGGAGGAAATCCAGAAAGTTTTCCTGGAGGAGATGACACTTAGGCTGGTATCTGAAGGATGGATAAGGAGGAATAAGATTTGAACACAGGATTTGATAACTTTAAAGAAAGAGAGGGAAAAAAAGGGGGGGGGAGCTGGAAAACGGCCAGCCTCCAACTTCAAGGGAACGCCACCTGTCCATGGAGGGGTGGGGGCAGATGTAAGTGCTGAAACCCCAGGCCTGTCTCAGAGCCCAAAGTAATCGTATTAAAAATAAGTTTATTCATATCTTGTCACCACCGGGGAGAGACGAGGGGGTTGAGCTCTGGAGGTCAGAGACAGCACTGGGAGGCAGAGGGCCCGACCTGTACCTGCCCAGTGAGAACTCCACCCCCCCTCCCTAAGGTACAGAGACTGCTGTATCCTTCGTCATCCATGTTCTGATTTGTCTCGAGCCTCCCACCCCCTCCAAAGTCTGGATCGGGGAAGCGAGGAGGCCCCTGCGAGTCAATTCTCTTCAAGTCAAGACCAGGAGTTGTTAGGGAAGGGGGTATGTGCAGACCCGAGGGGTTCCCTCCGCAACCCACAAAGGGCGATAATAAATAACGTAAAATCGATGGCTTAGAAGTTAGGGTTCAGGGAAGCAGCCAGGCAGACAGCGCTGTACTGGAGAAAGGGCTGGGGCACCCTTCAACGAGGTCCCCTGAGAATCAGGCACTAACTAGTATAGGGAGTGGGGTGCTGGTGCCCCTGCAGCTGGGGAGCCAGGGGGCAGCTGAGATGGGGAAGGTGCATCGCCCTCCTCCACTGGGCTAAGCTGGGGGAAGGAGGTGCAGGCAGAAGGAGCGGAGACAAGCTCAAACCCAAGAGCAGATTTCACGGAGATTTCCATCGCCCCCGCCTCTTCCGCGTAGGGAAGCCTTTCCTCCTCTTGTGTGGGGGTGAGTCGTGGGGAGGAAGCGGGGCTGGGGGTGGCCGGGGGGTCCCCTCCTCGCTCCTAGGGGCGATGATCACTCCCCTGGCTGCGACCACCGCTCTGTCCACCACAGCAGCTACCACGGACACGGGTTCTGGGGTGATCTCGGCTTTGGGGGTAGGTGGGGACAGGAGGGGCCTGGGGGGTGGGGGTGGGGGCGGGGGCAGAGGCGGGGGCAGCCTGTCGACGGCCGTTCCGGGCAGAAGGGGCAGTAGGGCGCTGAGGGCCTCACTCAGTTTGGCCAGTCCCTGCTGCAGGGTGCCAGCCAGCTCCCGGATGGCATTGGCAGTCTCCTGCTGAGCCCGCAGGAAGTCCAGGGAGGGGTCTGAGGCCGAGGGCGTGGGTGGTGGCAGCGGAGGAGGTGGTGGGCTGGGGGACGAGGGTGCCACATGCACCTGCTGAGGTGGCTGGGGTGGTGGCTGCAGCGGAGGGGCTGGGGGCGGCGGAGACAAGGCCAGGCGGGGCAGCTGGACAGTCTGCAGGGCTGGAGGGGGCGGGGACTCACGCTCCTTGGGTGGCGGGCAGCCCCCTTCCTGGGGACTGCAGGAGGGCCGGGCCCACTGCTCGGGGCTGCTGGAGCCCCCCTTGCTGTGGGCTGGTGTATCTGTGGAGAGAGAGATGTAGGTAAGGTGACAGCGACCCCCAATGCTGTCTTGATTTCCCCTTCCGCTTCCCACCCACCCTGGCCCCAGAGCCATCTTTTCAAAACCCGACTCAGATCATGCCTTGTAGGAGAACACAGCGGGGAGAGTCAATATATTTAACAACCAACCACCTGAGGGCCGATGTGGGCCTTAGTGGAAATGGGGTCCTGGAGGTCCCCTGCTGAGCCAGGCAGGACCAACATTCTAGAAGGCTCTGAACTCTCTGGACACTCCCCCCACCACACACCTCTCAGGCTGCATTGCTGGGCTCTGTCCTATCAGGTGGTAGGAGTTCTATCTCAGCTGTGGTCTGCGCTTCCCCGGCTCCTCTCACCTGAGATCTCATTCATGCTCATGAACTTGAACAGAGTGTGCAAACAGACGCCCAGGTTTCCGGGCCCAGCCCGAAACCTCTCCTCCAGTTGTGTCGTTGGCATACCCCCTCCATTATCTAGCAATGGCTCACACTCTCTGGCCCAGAGCTGAGCCCCTGGGCCCCCCCCCCCCCGCCCCGCGTCCTGCCCCTCCCTCAGCCATCCCAGTCTTGGCTCATTCCCACCACGCTGGCCAAAAACTTTCACTCCTTTTCCCCCCCAAGACACCGTCCGTGTGCAAATGTCACTGGCTCTGCCTTCCCAACTATTTTCAACATCCAACCTGTTTGTTCTGTCCACCTCCACAGCCCCTCCTAGTCCAACCACCGGCATCTCCCACTTGGACTGTGGCGGTCCCTCCAAAATAACATGTCAATTCTGCCACCTGCAGAGGACCACCTAGCCTCTGATCCATTTATATGCCATGTCCAAAATAGGCAAATCTAGAGAAGACAGAGTAGATGAGTGGTCGCCTGGGGCTGGGCAGAGCTGGGGGTGACGGCTAAGAGGTGTGGGGGGGTTTCTTTTCTGAGTGATGAAAATGTTCTAAAATTGATGGTAGTGATGGTTGTACAACTCCATGAATATGCTAATAGCTCCACATTGTCCCTCTTTAACGGGTGACTGTACAGTATGGGAACTGTAGCTCAATCAAGGTGTGTAAAAAACACAAGTCAGATGTGGTCTTTTTCTGCTCAAAAGCTGCTTGGGGCTCTCTGTTCTCAGAGTAAAAACAAAGCCCTTGGGGCCCCCAAGGCTCTGCATACTTTGTTCCATTGCCTCCCTGACCTTGTCTGCACCCCCTCCCCTTTGTATCTCTCTTTCAGGAGGCTCCAGCTGTATTGGCCTTCTTGTTGGTCCACAAACACAACAGGTCTGCCCCTGCCTCAGGGCCTTTGCACTTGCTGTTCCTCGGCCTGGAAAGCTCTTTCCCCAGACACCTGCCTGGCTCCCTCCCTCAGCTCCTCTGCTCAAATGTGGCCTCCGTGGGAAGACCTTCCATGACCTGCTGTTTACAGTAGCTCCCGTCTCTGTCCTTTTCTCTCTCCTAACTCTACCTGATTTCTTTTATATCACTTATCTCCACCTGGCATGGGGTCGCTCTGAGTTTGTTGTCTGTCTCCTCCTCCTGATGTCAGCTCCATCAGGCAGGGCTTTGTTTTGTTCACCGCTGTTTACCCAGCGCCTAGAACAATGTCCAGCACAAAATTTTTTCTTTAATGAAAAAAGAACTGTGGCTTCCAAGGGAGTCAGCCCTGATCGGGGCCCCGGGCCCCAGGTCCTTGCCGTAACCCTCCCATGGCTCCCCAGCACCCACAGGGGACACAGGCCAGCCCCTCCCAAAGGCTGCAAGGCCTCAGCTCTTACCCCTTTCTGTCCCTCTTCCTTGGCTCAGGGCCAGCGTACATGCAGTTCCCTCCACCAGGAGTATCCCCCTTGCACGGCCCCTTGGCCAGCTCAGAGACTCCTTCCCCGGGGAAGCCTGCCTCCTACTCTGAGGCCAAATCTGATCTCCCTGCTCTTCTGTCACAGCAACAGCCAGACACCTCCAGCTGTAAATGCTGGGGGGCCAGCCTCCCTGGGCCAGCCAGGCAGGGGGAGGCAGGGGAGGCGGTGAGAGAGGTGATAACCAGAGCTAACACTTATTCGACTCTTTCCTGGCCTGGCCCTGGGGCGAAGCAGCTAAGCTTTCCTGCTATGTTCTTTCAGTGCGTCCTGTCAGCCATTCTCTGCGGGTAGGTGCTGTCATTATTCACCCATTTTACAGATGAGGAGACCCGAGGCCCAGAGATGTCACAGTGCTGGTGAATGGGAGAGGAGGGATTTGAACCCCATGCGGTCTCCAGAACCCATGCTTTTAACCAGTCCTTGGACAGGGCTCTGGGCCCAAGGTTGGTGAGTCTCCCTCATAAGGGGTGTGGGGACTGCTGCCGCCACTCTGAAATACTGCTCTTCTAGCCTACTGAACAAGAGAAAGTGGCCCAGCCGTCGTGCCCACCGGGGTCATGGAAGGGCCATGGCACGATTTAAAATCATTTATCTGCAACCTTTGGGCCTCAATTACCCCACCCGTAAATAGGTGTGTGTGTGAGCAAAGGACCAAGTGACCCAATAACACAACATCTCCCTGAGGGACATCACTGGGATTAACTGAATCACCCTAGGCACAGGGTTGAGGCCAGTGGCTGGCACACAGTAAATCTTCAATGCCATTACTGTTGTGTGTGTGTTTTTGTTTTTGTTTTTGAATATTAGGTCAGAGAGAAATTATCCGTAGGTCTCCCTCTAGTGTCAACAGAGATGCCTCAGGCTGCCCCAAACCCTGTTCCAGTCCTGCAATCAGAGCAGTTCCTCTTTTATGAGTTTACACAGTGGGGAATCTCCATGTGAGGTTCCAATCAAGGATGCTTTAAGCACATTCCTGCCCCAGGGCCTTTGCATGTGTGGCTTCCTCTAGCTGTGAAGTGCTATTCCCCCAGATATCCATTTGGCTCACTTTCTCTATTCAGGTCTCTGCTCGGATTCCACCTTCTCAGAGATGACCTCCCTGACTACCCTACCTATAAGCGGCCCCCTTCCATCACTCACTATGTTCCTAACGTGCTTTATTTTTCTTCTTAGTTCTTACCACCTCCTGGTATATGATCTGTTTTGGGGCTCCTTGTTTGTGGTCTGTCTCCAGTAACTGGAATGCCAGCTCCATTGTCTTTTTCTCCATAGTATTTCCAGCATCTACCACTGTGCCTGCCTTGGAAGAGGTGCTCAATAAATATTTGTTGAATGAATGAATGAATAAAATAGTTGTACAACTCTTGAAAAAATAAGTTTGCCATCTCCGCTCTGGTTCAATGTGGCCGTTTCACAGATAGAAACAATGAGGTTTGAGATTCATATTAAGAACAAGGGTCCCAAGCAATTGTGTGTCTCTCTCTCCTGCTGAAGATGCTTTCAGGCCTCCCCAGTGCCCTGAAGATAAAGTCCAAAGTGATGACCTTCACTTAACACACTGTGTGTGATCTAATTCTGGCATACCCATTAACTCTCAGTCAATATTAATTGTTGCTGTTATTGCCAGGCAATCTAGCCCAGTGGTTAAGTGCATGCACTGTGAGTTGGATACAACCTGTAATTGAGTCCCAATTCTACTGCTTACTTGCTGTGTGACCTTGGATAAGTGAATAAACCTCTCTTAATCACATGATCCTGAACTTGTTTGATCACTTCCACGTCCTTCCCTTCCTCAAAACCCTTCAGTGACTCCTTACAGCGCTTCAGATAAAATTCCTCACCTCAGCCTAAAAGGCACTGCATGGTCTGGCCTTTGCTGACCTCCCTGACCTCATCTCAAAACATTTCCTTTCTTCAATCTTTTTATTTCCCTTTCTCCTAACGTGGAAACTTCTCAGTTCCTAAACTGGCTAAGCCTTCTTGTCTCAAAGTCACTGTACATGCTGTTCCTTCTACCAGGAACACTCCCTCAGCTCCTCACTCTCTGCGGCTCTGATGTTTCCTCCTCCAGGAAGACTTCCTTGACCTCCCAGCCTGGGTCAGGTGCCCCCTCCGCACTCCCACAGCTCAGCCCCAGGAGGGCAAGGCTGGGGATGTCTCAGTCACCACCCTGTCCCCAACACTGCCCAGCACAGGGCAGATGCTCAGGAAATAGCTGTAGAAGAAAGAATAATCCACCGTCAAGGCTAAGTGGGAAGTCTCTGTACTCTGCTCTCCACACTTGCCCTACTCATCGCATGACCTTGGGAAAGTTACCAAACCTCTCCGAGTCTTTGACTTATGAAACGGTAAAACAGTTCATACCTCCCAGCGTTGGTAATCCTATCAAGAGCTGAGTGTTCAGGAGGCGCTGTACTAAGCAATTTACACATATTAACTCATTTAATCTTCGCAGCAAGCTTTTGAGGTGGGGACTGTGTTTTTCATCCCCACTTTACAGAGGCGGAAACTGACCCGCAGTAACTTACCCAGAATGACACCACTGAGTGGCAGACTTGTGCCGGGAGCCCACACACTCTGCCGCCATTGTCACTACCTTATACTGCGTTTAATGAAATCCGTGTGTGCTGATAATCCCAGGTGTGGACTCTGGAGCCAGGCCTCCTAGGTCTGGGTTCCGTTCATGACTCTGACAGTCATGAGCTGTGGGACTTTGGGCAAGTCATTTCACTTTTCTGAGGCTCAGTTTCCCCAGATTTAAAATGGGCATAATTACAGCATCCACCTCACCGGGTTGTAAGTGAGGATGTGATGAGCCACGGGCAGGGCTCGGAACAGTGCCGAGCACACAGCTGACTTGGTGACCGTCTGCTCTGGCTAAGGTGATGCTGAAGGAACTCACCTGCCCGTCGGTCCTCCCTGCGGTCCTCCCTGCGGTCCTCGGACAACACGTAGCGTTGGGTGCCGGCACTTGCGGCCGGCGGCTGTGAGGAAGCCGCCGCGGAGGGAGGCTCGGCCCCTGCACCAGCTCCTGGCCCCGCCACTCCCGGCCCCAGGATGGCAAAAATGGTCTCCTCCTCCGCGGTGAAGGCGTCCTCAGCGGCAGGCCCGGCGCCCTGCGTGGAGTGCGGCACGCGGGCCAGCTTCTCCTTGGTGCGGCGCTTGAAGTCATTCCAGCGCTTCTGCACCTCTTGGCCTGTGCGCTTCCAGCTGGTGATGCCGTTGATCTTGGCGGCGATGCCGTCCCACACACGCCGCCGCTCTGCCACGCTCACCCGACGGCTCTGCGCGCCGTAGAGCTGCGGGTAGTGGGCGCGCACCTCACGGATCAAGATCTGGTTCTCCTCGAACGAGAAGCGCGGCTTGCGCAGCCGGGTGGTCTCTTCCGCTTCGCCCGCCGCCGCCGAAGCCATGGCGCCCCCCGACGCCGCCGTCCGGCCGCCTGGCGCATGGGGGGGCGCCGGTGCTGCGGGCACAGGGCGCACAGCGCTGGCGGGGGCTCGGCGTCCGCGCGCCGCCCGCCCCACCCCGGCCGCCCCGACACCGCCTCCTATGTCCCCGGGGCAACGGGTTGGAGCGGAGAGTGGCTGGGGGCGACGGGCCACGCGGGACGTTCAGAGTGCCTAATAATAGCTGACACCCGCTGAGCGCTCCTCTAGTGCCTAGCGCGGCGCAAAGTGCCACGCCGAGGAGTTGATGGAATTTGGGGGAGGGTCTGGAGGGGTGGAGGGAAATGAGGAAAAGCGAAAGAAAAGGGGGTGTCTGCAGGAGTTAGAGAAGAATGGGGGCATAGGAGAATGCGAAATGGAGGGAGAATGGGGGTGTCTCGGGGGTCGAAGAAGCATGGTGGTGATAGGGGTAAGGAGATGCTGAAGGAGAGATGCAGCAAGAAGGGGGGATCTGGAGCAGAGGAGCGCTCTGGGGGTGCCGGGGCAATAAGACGTAAGAACGGTATGAGAAGGGGTCCTCAGAAGGGATGCCCGGGAATCACGGTGAGTTGGGGGCTTCGAGGAGAGTGGAGGAGCTGAGACTATAAAATACGAGGGATTAGGGTCTGCGGGGATTGTGGGGCTCTGGGGATTGCCAGGAATTAAGAGGAGCTCTGGGAGTAATGGGGTCCGGGAGTAAGAGGGGCCAACGGAGGCGATGGGGGACTCCAGGAAGAGTGGGGGTCGTGGAGGGTGGGGACCGAGTCGGGCCGCGGGTCACTCACCGGCGCCGCCGCAGCCCCTGCCTGCCCGTCGGTCAAGGCTCGGGCTTCTGCGGCCTCTTCCCTCCCCCCTTCCTCTCTCTTCCCCCTCTGGGCCCCGCCCCCGGCCGCCCCAAGAGCCACGGCGCAGGCGCACCTAGCGCCAGTCAGCCCCCAACGCCCTTACCGCTGGAGTTTCACGCCCCTCCCACGACGCAAGCGCAGAATTGCCTTCCACGGGCCTCTTTGAGCGGGGCTTAGCTGCGCAGGCGCAACATTAGCGCTGCGTTAGGTCCCCTAGCTTCTTGATGCCTCAGCAGCGTACGCGGAAAACTCTGTTCACGCATGCGCGCCCCTGGCTCCCTATCCCCCCCCCCCCCCCCCCCCCCCCCCCCCCCACCCCCCCACCCCCGCTAGCTTTGGTACCCGGGGCTCCGTCCCTGCGCAGGCGTAGCATTCCTTGGGGGAGGTGGGAGAAATGATGGAGAGATCGCTGAGAACGGGCGGCGTCCTTGCCTTTCTGACAGTCTTCCTGCCTAACCCAGCGTTCTTACTCTGCTTGGGTCTCATTTTCTAGGCGAGAGGGGAGGCAAACGGCTCTGGAGGGAAGCGCTCCGTTTCCATGACAACTGTGTGGGTGAGGTGGGGGCGTACGAAAACACGATTGCCGCCCTCTCTGATCTGCCCCAGCGCGGGGCTGCTCTGGATCCGCCAACCAACTATTACCCATTGGGGCGGGGCACCCTGGGGATATTCCACCTCAGGCGGGTGCAGTAACCATGGCAACCCGTCAACCTTCCAACCGTCCCTCCCCCCCCCCCCCCCGTCCACACGCTGACATCATGGCGCGGGGAGGGAGAATTTAGAGGGAGAGTTTGGCGAGTGGGGAGGGTGATCCTGGCGCAGGTATGACTTTAAGCAAATGCGCGGAGGCAGGAATGAATCTAGAACATGGGTTGGGTGAGCTGGAAGAAAGGATGACGGAGTTAAGTCGGGCTGAGAAATTTGTTTTGCATCCTGCCTGAGTCCTCAAGGTCATTCAACAAATGGTGCTTCATTCATCTAGTCAACAAATAGTTATTAAGCACCCACTTGGTTCCAAGTGCAGTGAATACAAAAGACAAAAATCTATACCTTCACGGAGTTCATATTTTAGTTGGGAGTAACACAATATGCAAAATAAGATGTGTAAGTGAGGAGGTGTTGAGTACTATGGAAAAAATGGAAGTAGGAAATGGGGTTGGGGAGCATGGTGCTCGTGTGTATGTGTGTAATTTTAAAATAAGGTGGCTAGGGGAGACCTCCCTGAGAAGGTGACATTTGAGTAGACACATGAAGGAGGTGAGGGAGCAAGTGCCTTCTGTGTTCCAGGACCGCGGAGGCCAGTGGGGAGGGGAGAGCAGGGAGCTAGATGGCACAGATCTCCTGGATCCTTGTCAGGACGCCGGCCCTTACACTGAGTGGGAGTCACAGGAGGCCCCTGAGCAGAGGAAGGGCATGATCTGATGACTCTGGGTTTAGTAGGACTTCTCTAGGGAACTGCGTTTGGAAGCGAGAGTGGAAGCTGGGTGCCCAGTATGTTGAGGAGAGAGGTGGTTCAGGAGAGAGGTGGTGGTTCCAGCCAGGGTGGTAGCTGTGGAGGTGAAGTGAAGCATAATGGGGTACAGGAACTGCAAGAAAGAAAGGAGTTGAGGATGGCTCCAGTGTCTTTGTCCTAAGCAGCAGGAAACTTGGAGCTACCAGAAGCAAGAAGGGCAGGGCTGCAAGAGGATCAAGAGTTCAAGTTTGCCCAAACTTGAGATGCCCTTTACTCCACCAAGTGCCTATGTCAGATAGACAGTTGGATATTTGAGACTGGACTTCAGGGGAGAGGTTCAGGCTTGAGATATAACTTTAGGAGTTGTCAGTGATTAAATGACATATAAATCCCTATGAATAGGAGAGGTTAGAGAGGGAGCAACTATAGATAAAAGTCCATGACCCGAGGCTGGGGCACTCCAGGATAGATGGCTGGCATCAGCAAAGGAGGTTGAGCAGGTGTATTCCGTGAAATGGGAGGAGAACCAGGGCTGTCTGCTGTCCTGGAGGCCAAGTGAAGGGTGCAAATCAAGGACAAAGGAAGAATCAATGAAGCCAAGTGCTACCTAGAGGCCAAGTCCAGTGAACCTGAGAACTGACCCCTGGGACCAGCAGTATGGAAGCCATTAGTAATCTTGAAGAGGGCAATTTGGGTGATGTGGTAGGGGCAGTAGTCTGATTGGATGGGTTCAAGAGAGGGTTCATTGGGGCACCTGGGTGGCTCAGTCGGTTAAGCATCTGCCTTCTGCTCAGGTCATGATCCTGGGGTCCTGGGATCAAGGAGCCCCACATCTGTCCATTGGGCTCCCTGCTCGTTGCGGTGTCTGCTTCTTCCTCTCCCTCTGCCCCTCTCCCTGCTCATGCTCTCTCTCCCTCTCTCAGATAGATAAATAAAATCTTGAAAAAAAAAAGAGGGTTGATTGATTGATTGATTGAGAGGGTTTAGAGAGAGTCAGTGTATATGGTCAAAGGGGTATATCTGGAAGAGGGCCTGGGGTCTTGAGAGGTTTATTTAAGATAGGAGTTGTAATAGTATGTTACGTGCCAATTCAGGATGATTCAGAAGAGGGGAGATTGATGGTGCAGATGAGGGAGGGGAGAGTGGAGCAATGTCCTCGAATAGGCATGGTGACTGGAACCCAGGGCAGGAGTGGAGGGTGGTCTAAGGGGCAAGAGCTGTTCAGCCAGGGGCGCCTGGGTGGCTCAGTCGTTAAGCGTCTGCCTTCGGCTCAGATCATGATCCCAGGGTCCTGGGATCGAGCCCCACATTGGGCTCCCTGCTCAGCAGGAAGCCTGCTTCTCCCTCTCCCGCTCGCCCTGCTTGTGTTCCCTCTCTCGCTGTGTCTCTCTCTGTCAAATAAATAAATAAAATCTTAAAAAAAAAAAAGAGCTGTTCAGCCAAAGAAAACCAGCGGGAGGGGGAGGACACGGAGGCAGGCAGGAGGCAAGATGTGATGTCAGGAACATGTGAATGAATGTTCTCTTCTGTTCCTTAGGTTGTCTCAGGCGAGTAGGAAGCAGGGTCTGAGGTGAGAGGGAGATCTTGAGGTTAGGGAAGACACAGGAGAAAGCACTGAGATAGTGAATGAGTGGCCAGGCCAGTAGACAAATAGACCCAATCATTCAGGGTCATTGGCTTTGAAATTGAAGTGAGTTGGGTTTTTCTCTGATCACATTACTCTCAGTGTGTGCAGGTGCACAGTGGATAACAAGGTGACTTTCACCGGGGCTAGGTTTATATGAAGTCCCACCATGTGCCCCATGAGCGGTCAGGGTCCAGTGGTCACGGGCAGCCCATGCTGGGCCTTATGGGCAACATTAAGGAGCCTGAATGCAATCCTACAGGCAGTGAGTTCTGAGAAAGGAAGGACAGGGTTTGCTTTGTGCTTTAGAAAGACACCCCGAGCCCCCCGCTGTTGACTAGAGAGAAGATGGGAAGAGGAAAGATTTATTGGCTAGACTCAAAGGAAAAATCTGGGGTAGGGGCAGGATGGGGAGAGGAAGAGGGATGGAGAAGACTAGGCAGGGATGGTGGGAAGGGTAGAAATGAATTGGAAGACATTTGAGAGGTAGTATGTACAGGGCATGTGACTGTCAGTCTGAGGAGGGGAGGGGAGCCCTCTAGGTGACAGCAAGTATTCTGGTCCAGGTTCCAGTTGGAGGTATGGAGTCAGGACATGGTGAGTATAAAGTGGTCAGTGAGTATTATGGGTTGAATTTTTCCCCAAAAAGAGATATGTTGAAGTCCTAACCCCCAAATCTTCAGAACGTGACTTTCTTTGGAGATAGGGTCATTGGAGATGTAGGTCATATAAGATGAGGTCATACTGGAGTAGGGGGCGCTCTTAATCCAACATGACTGGTGTCCTTATAAGAAGAGGAAAGAGGTACATAGAGGGAAGACAGAGAAAGAGATTGCAGTGATCCTGCCACAAGCCAAGGAAGGCCCAGGGCAGCCAGAGGCTGCAAGAGGCAAGGAAGAATCCTCCCCTAGAGGCTTCAGAGGGAGTACGATACTGCCAACACCTTGATTTTGGATTTCTAGCCTCCAGAACTGGGAGAATACCTTTGTGTTTTAAATCACTGGTTTATAGTACTTGGTTATGACACCCCCGGGGAAAACTCATACGCTGGGCATCTAAAGGAGGCATCCAGGATGCTGGTGGCCCCACAGAAGACTGGGTTGCAGGGAGTTGGATCTAAATCAGGTTTGGAGCTCATGGGAAAGCTGGAAACAGGGAGCCATGGGCAGAGGTGAGGCGTGTGGAGCTCTGCAGTTGTGGGTATGGGAGGTCAGAGAGCAAGGGCCCTGGGATGGGGGTAGATCAGGGAAGCCTTTCTAAGGCTTGTTTTCCCAACTGTGGGTCCTGAAAAATACTTAATGGGTTGTAACAAGCATTAAAGAAACAAAATAAAGCAGAATCGGAAAAAATCAGACTGTGCTGTATGGAGTAAGGTGCGTATTGCTTTGAGGAACTTTGGTTTCTTACATATTTTCAGACGTTCTTGAGACGCATCTCAGGATAGTGGAAATTGCTCAACTCCGGAGCCAGCCTATCAGGGTTCAAATTCTCCCACTCACTTGTTATGTAATGTTGGACAGGTCAGTTAACCTCTCCGGGCCTTACTTTTCCTCTCCAGAAAGGGTGGATTAACCCCAGAATCTACCTCGTTAGACTGTGATGGGCCAATATGTATTAAGTATCTGAGCAGCTCCTGGTATGTAATAATTGTCTCGCTAATATTACTAAGATTATTATTTTGTGAAACTTTTGTTCTGGGTGTGTGTGTGTTGAATCAAGATGTGAAATGAATTTCTCATTGTGGTTTGCAGTAAAAAGTGAAAGGAACAGAATTCCGGAGAGGAAGTCTCAGCTCTGTTCTTTAAACCTGTCAACTAATTGGATCAGGCCCACCCCGATTATCCAGGATAATCTTCCTTACTTAAAGTGAACTAAATATAGACTTTAATCGCATCCACAAAATACCTTCGTGGCAACACCAGGAT